TGGGGAATTCCGGGAGCTGAAGTCCACACATCTTAAAGTTGTCAAGGTTGAGAAACACTGTCCCATGGTGTCGTTTTGTGCCACTCTAGGAAGCCGAGGAGCCGAACGGACAGTTGTTATGGATAAATCCAAAGGGGAGCCAGTGATTAGCGTGAAAACCACATCCACATCAAAAGAGCGGGTAAGTCTCTGGTTTTACTTCTGGTCTGTGAAACAAGACAAGATGTAAAGGCTAGGGAGAAGGACCACATCCATTATTCTTCTGGCTCCACTGAGTTAAACCTTCCTAGCTGATGAAAATTGGGTCGAGAGATTGCCTTTTCAGGCATCATCCATTATAATTGTGCTTTTCAAGCCAGGGTAGGGAAAGCCCACCAAAACACCAGTTCTCTTTGCTTCATATTATAGGAGCCCACCACAATCTGAAGGTCACCCCATCTAAACTGGGCTGCTCATTTTTAGCATGGAGGCTGGGGGGGTGAGGGAGCCTGGAGGCTGCAGTCGTAGGCCCTAAGTTGTCCACCTTCATGAATGATGGGAGCACCACCACAGATGGGCTTCTGACTTCACCCAGTAGAACTGGGGCGGTCTGTGGCTCCCTCTGTGAGTGCTAAAAGGGACTGAGCCTGCAATGCCTGGGCGTTGAAGGCACTGGGAGGCCCGATCCCCAGGCTCCCTGCATGTGGTGGGAAAGTGGGAGCCAGCTTGGTTTCTGAATATGAAAATGCATACATCGCCCGTCTTCCCACCTTCTTTCTGCCTCACTTCAGAGCACTAAAAGCCATGACCGCAAGTCCGAGAGCAAGGAGAAACAAGACATCCTGTCTTTCGATAAAATCAAAGAGCAGCGTGAGCGAGAGCGGCAGAGGCAACGAGAGCGAGAGATCCGGGAGACAGAACGGAGGAGGTGGGTTCGCATCACCTCCTTAGCACGTCCCTACCCCGAACGCTGTTCTTTCAAAAATCGTAAACCACTGAGATTGGTGCAATTTCCGTTCTTGGCATTCCCAACGGTTGCCATTCTATCTTTCTTTTCTTCTTTTTTTTAAATTTTAGCATGAGTAGTTTCCGTGATTAAAGTTTTTGCGCTCGGTTGCTTTGATTCACAAGGTCTTTGGAGGCATCTTGCTTCCCCCTTCCTTCTTTTGCTCTCGCTTTTAAAGCCTGGTTTAGGTTGCTAAAAGCATGCAAGTGACTTTCCTATAGAATCACTTTTCTTTCTCTACCAATGATCTTGGAAAGAAACTCTCATAATCCACTGGGGCAGTTCACGCAGCAGTGTTTCTCAACCTCGGCAACTTTAAGAGGTGTGGACTCCAACTCCCAGAATTCCCCAGCCAGCA